TCTCCAATGCGGCGCCTTTGGTCCACCAAAGTGTGTAATGAATCTGAAATATAGGAAATAAACGTGACGTAATTTATGCTGTTGGATGCGGCAGATTTCGAAGCTTGTTTCGTGAAATTAAAGTGAAAGCGCACAAAGGATGAAATTTCGAATTAAATTAAGGTGGAAGTGCATAGAAGATAAAATTTCTAATTAAATCAAGGCGGAAATGCGCTAAAAGAGCGCGTGAACAGTACGCTGTGAGCAAATTTTCGAAGCTGTAGGCTCCAGCAGCAACGAAAGGGTTAAGAGAATAGAGCATCTGTATATCGAGTGATCGAAAGATTCGATCATCGTTCAATTAGAATTTTAGTACGTAACGCTGGTTGCAGACGATAGATAGTTCGACCATGGTCGCAAAATTTTTAATTTCGTCCGTATCGTTTCGAAATTTGTTTCGTGAAACTAAAGTAAAAGTGCAGGAAGGATAAAATTAAGATGGAAGTGCGCGAAAGAGGAATTTTTCGAAGCGCCCACATGCGCCAATAGCAACGAAAGGGTTAAGAGAATAGAAAATACATATACCGAGTGATCGAAAGATTCAATCATCGTCGAACTGGAACTTTCCAACTTACATCGCACGCACAGCCGTGTTTGTACAATCGTCTGAATGCTTTTCGTTGGCTGCTGTTCACTGTACGCCAGTGCATCGACAGGTCACAGATCGAAATGCGTGCTTGATCCTCGTACGTTTTACCGCTCACGACGTACGTTTCCCCGGTTTTAAGAGTCACACCGCACATACTGTCCGACGACGAAGTCCATAAAATATTTTTCTTCAGGGCTGCGTACGTTTTCCCATTGTTCACCTGTGATTGAATAGCGACACGTCTCTTTAGATCGTGGTTGTAAAAAAGGAGATCGTAAAACGACGGAAATTCCGACGAGATTTTCCATACGAACCTTGAAGATTTTATTTACTTTCACGTTGTAGCCGATCTCGTACTCGTTCATGGGCGTGATCTTCTTCACTTTCACCAGAACGACTGGGCGTGAAAAAAAAAAAGAAGGTAGAAAGAAATTGCTTCGAGAAACGAAACGACCGAATTATTCGATTCCTTTTCTATCGTCGATTCGTTAATCCTTACCGAAGTCCGACTTGCAAAATAAAGTCTGCGGATGACCCCTCGCGCAACTACAAGCGACGACCCTCTGAACTGGCGCCAATGATAACGCCAGCAGCAGGAAGTACGTCCAAAACCTTAATTGCCACATCTGTGAAGAAGGAAAGCGAAACGATTACGTTATGAAAGTTTAAAAGGAAATGTTTCACGACGTTTCAGTATTTATAGGGCTATGATAAACAACGTTGAATCGCGCGTTATCAAGGATAACGATACGATCGGAGTTGGGAGTTATGTTTGCCGGCGATAAGAGTGAAAGGTGGAAAATCATTGCGAGGTAACTTCAAATGATCACGAATCAAACGTGTGAACCGAGCTCTTTTTCCCATACGAGATAACGCGAGGACCCCAGTTGGAATGCTTCTTCGTGCCAAGAGCAAGGTTCGTTTATCTTCGAAATCCGATTAGGTGTATCCGAACGATTCGAGGCAGTTGTCACCTGTCGAGCGCCAGGAAACGCTATAACTTTATTTAACGAACCACCTGACTAAGCTCAAGAATGTCCCTTTCGTTTTTCGGCGTGCAAACAAAAGAAAAAATGAAACGTCGTCGGTGAATCACAAGATAAACGACTAATCTCAATTTGCCATTGGGTCCATCTAAATCTGGTATCTCTCGGCTTGCCCACCTGCAGCCCTCGCTTAATGCAAATTTATTCAAACCTCGCGAAGCTGCGCAACGTGCAGCATCGGAATTCGCGTGTGAATTCCAGCGAAACTGATCACCGACGATTGTTCACACACGATGTTTAGAAATAATAATAGAAGAGTAACGAAATTGTTCAGAAGACTAGACACTGTCAGCGAATTTCCTATTCAATAGACTCTCTCTCTCTCTCTGGTAAACGAGTTTCGAGTGAATTGAGATCGAAACGAGGTGCAGCCTGAAAATATGAGACGAACACGGGTATTATGGATTCATTCATGACACGCGACACCGAGCATAATAGCCGGCGGAATCTCCATTGGACTGACAACAAGTATTACGGAAGCAGGTTCTAATCCGACCTAGTTTATCGACGTCAGCTGCTGGACCAGGTCTAAACATAGACGTAAAACGGCAACCAAAGTCGAACGCGTGAACCAGAAACTCCGCGAGCCGTCTCGAAGATCGTATTGACGATGCGTTTCCACGGACTTCGAGAATAGACCACGGTGGACAACCAGAATCTAGGCATTCCTAACGGAACCACGCGGCAGCTGCAGAATGCTGTTCGGTAGTTAGATTAAGATTACGAGAAACGACAGTTAGCAAATGGATACTCGTTAATTTCGCCGCTAATTCGAGCACTGTTTCAACCACCGTGCCTCGTAATCACGCGAGACACACGGTGAAATCGGGATATTGAAATATCGTATTCAAGAGCAATTTGATCGAGTAGAACTGTTAGATAGGGTAATGTATTAATTCTGAGGAGATAGTCGTTCGGTTGATAAAAGTGAAACAGGGTTTCTAGAGTTTCTCGAGAGTACCCGGTCGCTCGAGGATCGGTTAATAAAGTTGAAACAGAGTTTCCAGAGATTCTCGAGAAATTGTAATTATTGGGTCACCCTGTGTGCTGGTAAAGAAAGAGAGAATATTTTAGTGAAAAATGAAGGAAGTTTTATGGCGACGACGTAACGGCTCTACTTAAAACAAGAATACGATTGCAATCTAGTTTAATACCAAACTTAATATCAATTTAATTTAATACCAAATTACACGAACTTACGAGATACCTTATCAATCCCAAATTACTAAAACACTCTGTATTTCACCAGAAATTGTCTCAATAACATTTTCAACAGCCCAATTCACGTATACCGAAACGATTTCAAACACATTCTACCCCGTTCAAGTTTCACCGAAATGCGTCGAACGCGTTAAACGATCGAGGCAAGGTGTCGTTAACCCGTCCCACCAACCAGGCTCGCCGTGTATCGTTAACGATTCATCAGGCCTGAAAACGGTCTGTGTTGCGAAGGGTTTCACGGGATGTAACTCTGAA